ATCGATGGATTACTCCAATATGATATCTTCTTTTAGTTCCTCGTTGTTTTTATTGTCTAGGACTATGTATTAATTATTGAATAGTTATTAATCTGTGCATCACAGATCTGGCTTTACCACTGTATAAAGATATGAAGTGGTGGAAGATTCAGTGGAACCGCCATTTTAGCAGTTGTTTTTATGGCTCCCGTAATATACAGACATTCTGCACGACAGATCTGGCTTTACCCTGTATAAAGATATAAAGTGGTGGAAGATTCAGTAGAACCGCCATTTTAGGGGTTGTTTTTATGGCTCCCGTAATATACAAACATTATTTTCTCTTTTCGGCAATCTTTCTGTCGTAAAATTCAGGGCGCAAGACCAAAAGGAAGGTCACGGAAAAGATGGGAGGATGAAGTAGCAGCGGACCTGGAAAAGATCGGCGCGGGACCGACAAGGTTGGAGGCATAGTTTGGAAGAGGCCAAGGCCCAATTTGGGCTGTAGCGTCATTGGAGAGAGAATATACAGACATACTAGCTTCTGTGTATTACTCAACAGCCTTATTGCTCTCACTTGCCACCTCCTTGTCCACCTCGTTACAGATCCATAAGTTATCATTGGTCTAATAAACCCTGTGTATAACCAAAGAGTCCTTTTACCACTTCCTTCTACATCTGACCAAGGACATAGTAGCTTTCTGTGTGGTTTATAGTATTTGAGTATTTCATATAAGCCCATGATCAAAATATACTCTAGGTATTTTGTTTCTTTGGCAAATGAATCTCTGTTCCTCCCAGCACTGGTGGTTTTAGGCCTTATAATGCTGTCTTTTTTGTGAAGTTGACGATTTGTATTTTTTGACTTGTTTTATACCAGGTATCAAACTATATTTAGGGCTATTTGCATTCTTCCAGATGGGAAAAACCTAAGCAAATTTGCCCCTGACGACTATTGCAATATCGTCAGCGTATCCTAGATAGCAAAAGTCTTTTGTGAACAAATTTTTGAAAAGATCATCTACCAAGGTGCCCAAAGTAGAGGTGACAGAATTCCTTCTCGTGGACAGCCTCCACCTGCTCTTGCTTTGGTGGTTGCTTTACCAAGAGTGAATATGAAGAGTATAAATGGGTTTCAGGTATATTTTTGTCACGCTGTCATAACAAATTAAAAAGAATGTTGTTTTGTGTATTTTTTATTTATATTATACAAAATATAACATTAAACAAATAAATAATATCAATTTTTATTGTGTTGATTACTAAAAGTGTAATAGAATATATTCCTCTAGTTTTATTTTATTTTTTTTTGTAAAGTATATATTTAATAACTAAGCGGTAGATGACCCCGATAGAGAATGTATGTACTTCAGGAATTAGTTCCCCTACCCTCCGGAGCTACTGAATTTTTCCTCCTACCCATAAACCGAGGAAATCAAGTTCAAATCCTAGAATTATTTTATACAAATCTCAAACTTTTTCTCTAAATGTCTACCACCTACCAATGGGCCTGGGTCCTCGTGGTAGGTTATCGAAAAATTTCCCTGAACGGGTTTTCCATCTATTAATAAGGAGTGGTAGGAATTTTTGTGTTGGGTATTTTTCACAATGGCAATGAGTGTATAGGAGAACCATTTATCAACCTCTCGTGTTTGAATTAATGATTAACAGTGTTATGACTTCATTTCAGGCTCCCATGCTTTCGTCGGACACTCGGGCTGAATACGAGACCAAATACGGGAAGGCCAATGAATGTCTCCTAATTGTTTCCCACTTCAAGTTTTTACCTTACAAATGTGCCATCTACTTAAATAGCCATAAATGAAAACGACCTAATGAAACGAAAAAAGGAAGAATTTACGAAATACATAAAAGAAATTGTCTTAGTAAAAGGATACCATTTAAAACCCCAAAATATACGAATACTGGTCCTATCATTTTAAAAACCGAAGTAGAATAAGTTATCAAACAAAACAAAAATAGGAAATCTCTATTCCCTGAACAAAAACAATCATTCCAATTAAAAAGAATTTGCCACAGCTAACAAACATCTGGAAACTGGAATAATTCAATAAATATGGATGGAGTCTACATTTATCCCATTGTTCTTAAGGCAAAAGTTTTGATATTTAAAATTTTACGATATTGTTTAATGAATTTCTCTGAACCCTCATAATCTAACTGAAAAAAATGATCTACTGAATTGGCAAGCGCCATACTTTCTGGTAAGAACCTTTTGTTCAGAAATTCTTTTTCAGTGTCAATAATTCTGTAAAAAACGTTTGCCCTCCAATACCCAATGATTCCTACGTTAACTCTGGAGCATGTGGCGTCTACCAAATCCAATCCTACGGTTGTTTCGGTGACGAAGTCAATGAGCTTGCTACTGGCTTGTTTTTTTCTTTTGGATGACGAAATTTTCAATGAAATTTGGTACTCTGTGGCAAAGTTTGATATTTTTTTATGAAGATGGGTATAATATTTTTCATTTCTTATTCCATCTAATGAAGTCATAACACTCGTAATAATCTTAATTGCTTTTCCCAAAGTTGCACCTTTCTCTTGGAGGCTCTTTGATAATATATTTAAAATATTTAGTACCTCGCCCAATACAAAAAGATGAATTATAAATGATGGTTAATTATTACGGGATAATATCTCTACTGCTATAATTGACTGTTTATTATTTGTATCAGAAACTTCCTTTTCCAGTGTAGAGACGATTCCCTCGAAACATGTTTTAATAGGGTGGCAACTCTTATATCGACACACCCAAAAAGTATCTGACAAAATTTTTAAACTCCCTATTTTTTATGGTCTTAAGGATCTGAAAAATGTTCGTAAAGTGTCTCCCAAAGTACAAAAAATGTCGATATTGAGAGAACATTTTTCCGCGAGTCTACCAGAGCTAAGTTAAGTCTATGAGCTAAGCAGTTGGTGTAAATTGCAGCTGGAAATTTCTCTCGCTTTTTTGTTTGAAGACCACTTGTATTACCTACCATCTTCAAGTCACTAAGATTAAGCTCTTACAATTTTTTGTAGATTAAAGTGAATAAATCCGTGGCCGATCTGTCTTCTAAACAGTCAAGAAATGCAAGGAATCTTTCACGAATTTCTAGATCTTTCGATGCATAGCGAACACATAAAGACAAATGTTCATTTTAGAAAGAACGAGCTTCATCATACATAAAACACAAAACGCGCAGGATTGTATTCCGATGGCTATAGTACAGGCGATTGGTACGTTGGTTTTTTTTGTTGTTTCTTGTTTACATTATTGTATGAATTTGCAATTCAGGTGTGACCAGGCCCACCTTGGTCTCCTCCTAGCTACGCCAATGGCCACGATATTCATAGGAAGTACAGAAACGAATTTAAGTCTGCTTTATAGATTTTCAAAAGGCATTTGGTTGGGTCCAACACGATGGATCGTTTGAATATCTAAAGATACATAATCGGAATAGATCTAAAATTTGTACAAAATGTATATTGGAAACAAAAAGCCTCTATTCTGGCAAAAAATACGCAAATACAATACAAAAACTATTTGGGAAGTAATACAATAAAATGAAAGCTTAAGAGCATTGAGAAGAAATTAACAAAAAGAACAAAAGTGACTCAGAAGGTACAATAACATCAGATAAAGAAAAAATAATCCAAATTGTGAAAGATTTCTACAGCGTGCTTTATAGGCCTGCCACAAATAATGTAACAAAAAATCAAATAGTTTGCAATCAGGAAAAGATATACGGTAAGTACATCATCAAAAATTCAAATGGAATTAGGAGAAATGTAAAAAATAAGAGGAATGCTTTTATCATGGATAAGGGAGATCCCACAGATTTTCCACCGAATTTGTCTCCTCTGGGGGGCGCCTGATTAGTCTTCGCTTCCATATGTAAAAACTATTTATAAAGGTACTAATAAGATAATTAACTCCCAAACTAGATTTCCATCAACACAAAGAACAAAAAGAACACTTAAAGAAAAAACCGTGCAATACAACAAACAATATTTGTGGACTATGAGAAAGCATTTGTCAACATTTGTAACACTACCAAAAAAAAACGATCTGCGAAAACGTGTGAAGATTTCCCAACTATCAGTCTTATGAGTTAAGTTAAGTTAACCACTTAAGATTTTTCTTAAAATCATATATGCCAGAATTTACAAGAAATGCGAAGAAAATGTCAGTCTTCATGGGTACACGTAAAGCATTTTTCACATTACAAGTCCTACTTCAGAGATGCCGCGATATCAGTTGTAATGTCTATATTTGTTTTATTGACTACGCTAAGGCATTTGACCGTTGTCAGCACCCGAAGATGTTCGCCGCCCTACAAAGAGTAGGATTGGATCATCAAGAATTTATACTGGAACCAGCGTGCTCAAATCAAGGTCAAAGACCAGATGACGGACCAAGTGAAGATCATGTGAGGAGTAAAGCAAGGCTGTGTGCTCTTGCTGACTCTTTTCAATATATACTCTGAGGAAATTTTTACTGTGTTACTAGCAACCAGCCTAAATGATCTATAAGCCTTACTATATCGAGTGAGAACTGTGAGTGTAACATACGGACTAGAGCTTAACATGAAGAAAACTAAATTCATGATTGCTGTGCAAATTTAGATCCCTGCAGTTCTGCAAAATTAGGATCCCTAGAACCAGCAGTTCCAGACTATTTGATGACGATCTATTAAGTACATTATGTATAATCATATCAGCCTTCTGTGTTTGGAGTATCGAAAAATATTTTGTTTTAATAAATCATCAAAATACAAACCTACAAAACTAATAACAAAATTTATAACAATACAATTTTGGCTCTTCCTTCGAGAGCATATATTCTATCCAATTGACCTTGTGTCAGAAATATAAAAGGCAGCATTTTATCTGTGCAGGTTTATCTTCTGCTTGATTCTTAGTCTGTGTTTATAGTATCAATGGAGAAATACAGCTTCTTTAATATATGTAATTATTTATTTTGCATTAAAAAAATTACAATAAAGACATGTAAATTTGCAGTCATAGTTTAAATTTAAAATAAAATAGTTTTTTTAAAAGGAATCATACAAAAATATAATTTATTACAATAAAAATCAGTCTAAATAATACATGACGTGGCAGATACATGGAATTACAAAATTAAACTAAAATAAATAAAGTTTAATATAAAAGTTGTCAAAACCGAAAAAACTAACAATATAATAAAATATAGATAAATAAGAATTAATTTACTGGTTTAAGAAGTTAATTTTGTGTACATATTCTAAACGAAAGAGAAAGGTAGTGGAGTAGGAAATGTGGCTAAGAAATTTCAACTATTTCAGCTTAGTACTTTTTGTCCAGTAACACTCATTTTGGTAAGATAGTCAAAATAGGAGACACATAAAATTATATACATAATATATAAAAATAATACAGCAAATGATCACCTAAACACACTCGAATATTCGCGAATCGTAATAAATTATTTAAGCATAGTAAAATTCTAAAAATACTTCAAAATAAGCTTAAACTATACAGTCTATCCTCAAAAATAATACTACACATTCAACAAATAAATTAAACTTAACTAAGATTGAAGGTATATCACACATAGAGGAAGGAACCAAAATTACAGTTTTATTCCACTTTGCACCTCTTCCATCACTGCGGCAGATTTCTGAAGAGCCTTTGTTTCTTCTTCTGTAAGTTGCTGTTGAATAACATGACTAACGCCGTTTGAATTCAGCATTACAGGTAAAGATAAGTATACTTCGGATTTGATGTCATGGAATCCCTGCATAAAAATAAGCGTTAGTATTGCTGTACATTAAAAAATTATCATTCAAAAGCAGAATATGTTTATAAAAAATAGATATGTGGTATCGCTAAAGCATATATTATATCACATCACTCTTATAAATCTCACACACTACGGCATACTTACTATTTATTATGTAGACCAAATCGATAGAAGAAAACTTTACTTTGGATATTAAAACTAAGATCAGTATACTTTAATCGACAAACTGAATTAATGTACAACAGTACAATGTGCATTTTATTCTAAGAATTATAATTGAAAGCAGCTGTACAAGCCAAATAGTTTTCTTGCTCATATCTCCCTCTTCAATTCTGACCCTCGGGAGGTAGTGGTCATCGGGTTTGTTCGTCTCCAAAGATCTCTGTCTCTGGTCAACTCATGCGTAGGTATTTTGTATATACCTGTAATTTGATCGTTCCATCTTGTTGGAGATCTTCTTCGTGATCTTCGGCCTTCTGACTTTCATTCTTCTCAAAAGAACATTTCAGTGCTAGACCACATTTACGTTGAAGTTTTTACAGTTATTTTAAAGAAGTATAACATTGGTGATAACGGTGGGATGAAAGAGAATTAAGTAATTGTGTATGGTTAATACAAGATCTACTAAATCTGATAAAGGAATAGGACACACCATATGGTTTTTAAAAATGAAATAAGAAGAGAAAGGGGAAAAGAGAAGCGTAGGGAGGTGAAGGAGAAGAGTAGATAAGAAGAAAAAGAGGGATGTAGAAAAGTAGAGTTAGAACTTATGAATGCTGTATCTCAAATTCACGAAAATTTTTAGTTAAATGTAAGTCAAATAAGTAGTAGAATAGACAAATTAGAAGAAGAACAAAACGATTTACAAAATAAAATAATACAACAATAAAACGATTTAGAAAATAAAACAATACAGCAACAAAATGAATTAGAAAATAAAATAGTAGGTACATCAAACTGATTTTAAATTTAATTTAGAAAGACAAATAGTTGAGATATAAAAAAAACTTAATAGATAGAAGAAGATACGACCATTTGGTAATTCCATGTGGATTAATGCAACTGAGTTGGAGTGTACAAACCTCCAGCCTGAAAACTGTGGTTGGCATTTAGACGTTTATTTAAAACCAACAGGATTTATTGGTAACCAAACGCCTTTGAAAGTGCAAGACATTCACGAAATAACAAAAGATGATGGCGAATGTAGCAAAGGCAATAATGGAAATTTTAGTTCCAATAAATCAGAAGTAAAATAAAAATCACTAATTGGAATCAATGTTTTACAAATGTAACATTTATATTTATGGGTTGAATAATAAAATATTTGTAATGAATGAAATATCTTTAGTCATTTTTTATATAATACTAAATAATATACTTGGTAGAAGATATATTTGTATATACAGACATTGATAGTTAAACATAAGGTTCCTGAATTTTGATTTTAAAACTTGATGTCTCTTTGAATCTCTGACATCTTAGCAGCGGAGAATTTCAAAGAACAGCGTTCATTACTCGCCAATTGTTGTTTCACAATGTATTCAACACCATTGGCACCAAGTACAGTCGGTAGGGATAAAAATACTTCGTAATCCAGATCATGAAAACCCTACGGGACAAAATATGTTAATTCAGGTTCTTAAATTATTTAAAATAGTAGCCGGGATATCTGAAATGATCCAAAATCTACAACGTAGCGTTAAACGCCTTTACCGTAGTAGGCCATAACCGATAACTTTTCTGACCAAAAAAAATTTTAAGAAAGTGAAATCAATTGTAAAACGAAGAAAATATTACAAACATTAAGGGAAAAGTAACTTATAGTCCATCTGACGTCGGAAAGTGGAAAAGGGAGAGTTTTTAAGGGTAAAAAAACGATTTATTACGATTTCTAGCAAAACTACAAGTTCAATGGAAAAAAATATAAATTTTTCGAATTAAATTTGTTTCGTTTTTTTTTGCATTTTCTGAGGAAATTCGTTATAGTAATGTATACTTTTTTATACCGTCAGAAAGTAGAGATTTCAACGAACAAAAAACACAACAACTTTTCTAAAATATGTAGTAGATATTTTGAGGTTTGAACTTTCAATTGAAAATTAGGGTACTTTTCGGAAAAATTAAATAAGGAGGAAAAATAAACATTTTAAATAAAAAAAAATACAGTCTGTTGGGAACACTTAAAGATTTGGGTAACTTTTAACCAAATTTTGTGAAAAAAATTTTTTTGTGGAAGATAAAAATAAAAAAATCCAAAACTCAGTTATTTGAATTTCTCGCATAAAGTTTGAGGTTATGTGAAAAAAGTGTTCCTAAACCATCGAGCAAAAAGACAAAAGAGGGAATCTAATCGTTATGAAAAGGAGACCAAAAAAGTGGCCTCTGATGGCGGACATATCCGGAAATGCAAAGGCGCTAAATTTAAATTTTCCGACACTTATTAACAATAGCTATAAAATATTTTTCAGACGAGAAAGTTTTAATTAAATATTAACGATAATAGTCTAAAATGTGACACAATTGGTAAAAAACTTCAATATAAATAAAATTGCATGTGACAATTGGGACAAAAAATAACATAACCAAACTAAATTTGATTTAAATCAATATAAGGTTGAATGTTCGAATAATTAAACTTTGAGGGTATCTTCTTCTTTGGGTGCCGTGTCCGTATTCAGACGTTGGCCGTCATCATGCTTACAATTTCCTGAAACCTTTCTCTGTCGGCTGCTGCGCGAAATAATTCTTCTACTGTGAAACCACACCATTGTCTAATATTACGCAGCCATGAAAGTTTCTTTCGACCAATCCATCTCTTTCCTTCCACTTTTCCTTGTATTATAAGGCGAAGTAAATGGTATTTGGGTCCTCTAATTATATGGCCGAAGTATTCTGTTTTTCTCCTCTTTATGATGTTTATGAGCAGACGTTCTGTGTTGATCATTTGAAGAACATCTTCATTGGAAGTGTGCGAGACCCACGATATCTTTAGGATTCGTCTATAGCACCACATTTCGAATGCTTCTAACTTGTTTAGCATTGTGGTTTTTAACGTCCATGTCTCACAACCATACAATAGGATCGACCACACATAACATTTCAGGACCTTCTTACGAATGTTCATTGACAGGTTTCTGTTGCATAAAACTGGTTTCCAGGTCATAAAAGCCTTACGTGATATTTCGATCCTGGATATTATCTCTTCATCAGAGTCACAATTTACATTTAACCAGCTGCCAAGGTATTTGAAATGATTTACCCTTTCTATCTCTTCTCCATTAAGAGAAAGCAGACCTTGATCTATATGGATCTTTCCAACTGCCATCCACTTTGTCTTTGAAATGTTGATTTTTAGGCCTCTCCGATAACTTGCTTCACTGACTAGATTTAGTAATGTTTGGAGATCTTGTAAACTTTCTGCAAGAATGGCTGTATCGTCAGCGTATCTAATATTGTTGATTACTTCTCCACCTAGTCTTACTCCCTCTTGTCTGTCATCCAAAGCCTCCCTAAAGATTTCTTCAGAGTACAGATTAAAAAGAGTGGGTGACAAAACACAACCCTGCCGTACTCCACGTTTGATGGGTATTTTTTCAGTGGGACTGTCTCCAATTTGGATAGAGGCTACTTGATTGTAATATAAGTATTTCAGCAGTCTTATATCGTAGTGGTCAAGTCCTGCTGCCCGTATGCAGTCGAAAAGTGTATTGTGTTGGACTCTGTCGAACGCCTTCTCGAAGTCGATGAAACAAACATAAACATTCTTTCGGAATTCACAACTTTTTTGTAATAGAACGCGCATACAGAATAGTGCCTCTCTAGTTCCTAGACCGTTTCTAAATCCAAATTGCTTATCACCCATCTTACTTTCGCATAGAAGGAATACTCGGTTTTGTATAATTCGTAAGAGTATCTTCAGTGTGTGACTCATCAAACTGATTAGTCTAAAATCGCTGCATTTGGTGGGCCTGCTTTTCTTTGGTAATGTTATAAACAGTGACTCTAACCAATCATCTGGTATTTTTCCTTCGTTGTAAATTTTGTTGAAGAAAGTGGTTAAGCAGGCAATGCTTTCCTCATCCAAAAGTTTAAGTAGTTCGGCAGGGATTTGATCTGGTCCAGGTGCTTTATTGTTTTTGGCTTGCTGTATTGCCTTTTGAGGGTATACAAGGCAACTATCGAACACGGTGATTAATTTAATCTTGCCCAAGTACTTTCGATCAATAGATCATCTTCAGGGGCATTTCGTCAATTGTGGCCTATCCGACATAGTAGAATGTCATAAATGTAAAATCTGGACATAACAATACAAAATACACTACACTAAGACAAACAAACACTTTAAAATTTATATGGAGAAGCTACATATTGTGAAGAAGCTGGAGACAGAAAGTCTCTGATTCTGTCTCCGGCTTCTTCACAATATGTAGCTTCTCCATATAAATTTTAAAGTGTTTGTTTGTCTTAGTGTAGTGTATTTTGTATTGTTATGTCCAGATTTTACATTTATGACATTCTACTATGTCGGATAGGCCACAATTGACGAAATGCCCTGAAGATGATCTATTGATCGAAAGTACTTGGGCAAGATTAAATTAATCACCGTGTTCGATAGTTGCCTTGTATACCCTCAAAGTTTAAATTTGATTTCTTAAACAAGGAAAGAGACTGTCTTTCCTTGTTTAAAGTGGCCTCTTAAGATGGCACTTCCTGTCTAACAGTATTTTTGTCCCCACTACCTTTACATTCCCTTTTTTGTCTTTTTGCTCAATGACCTAAACACAAACGTTGTAGATTTTTTTATTATTTATTATCTACAACTTTGTTATTTAACTTTTTTCCATTGGACTTGTAGTTTTGCCGAAAATCGTAATCAACCCGTTTTAACCTTTAAAAACTCACCCCCTTCCACTTCTCCACCTCATATCGCACATAAATTATTTTCTTTTTAATTTTTGTTATATTTCGGTTTTTTACAATGGGGTCTATCTTGTTACTATTATTTTCACTATTTTTTTATTTGTCTATAAGTAGTGTGTTGTACTACATAAATTCGAGGATGTGATTATTTTATTCAAAATGACCTTCGAATATGATAGGACTAATTGATATAGATATAGCATCTATAAAATATTTTTGTTTAAGTCAATTACTTTTTTTGTTGTTAATTTTGTTAATTGTGTTTTTTTTTCAATGATGTACGATCGAAAACACTGAACTCGTGTTTGGCTAATATTTTCTAGCACATATTTTTCTATTACAGTAAAAACAATTCAATAGGAAACTGCTTAGCCATACCTTGTGACAATTTTAATTTAACGCATGTACAAGTGTCTACGTATTTCTTACCTTAACCATGACAGATACTGCATGGACGTGATGAAGATTTTTCAAAATTGTATTGGTCAAAGAGGCTGCACTAAGGCCTATAGCCCAGTTGGTATATCCTTTTAGTTTGATGATTTCGTATGCTGAATTTACTACTTGTGAATGAAGCTTTTTCCATTCTTCTGGATCGTCATCTGTACCAACCTTGGGTTGAACGTCTTTCAAACGCACTCCAGCGACGTTAACTCCAGACCAGACAGGAACTAAAAACAAAAAAACAAAATTAACAACCGATTTTTCTACAGTCCAAATTTATATCAGAGGTTGTTGTTAAATACTGGCTCCTTTAGATTAAAGAAAGATCCTTATATAACTCAGAAATAAGAGAGATAACTAAGTCAATATAAAAAACTTTTAGGTACATTAGATATATTATCATCTTGACAATATACACACTGGCAAAATGCTCTATTATGTGTTGTAGTTCCTAATTCCTCCTCCTCCTAATTCCTCTTTTGTAAATCTAATAACAAAAGAGTAATGTAAAGCATATAAGAAATGTGTAGAGAAAAAAAAATTATTAAAATAATAAAAGATTATCAGATCCTATTATTACAGCGAAATATTACTAAAGATAAACGAGAAGAAGAAAGATCAAAAGGGAGACCCAAGACACGATGGCAGGACCGCGTTGGCAGATTTAAGAACACTGAAAATAGAGAATAGATTTAAGGACACAGACACTACTGGACAGAGTAGCTTCGTGGCAACTAGTTAACAAAGCTAGGAATTTTCAGGACCTGTAAGCAGATATACCAAATGCAAAAACCAGTGGCCTAATTCGCCACGGCCCTTCCTCCAATTTTCCCTTATCCAGTTTTTATTTTTCTTCTTAAATTGTCTGCCCATCTTAAAGGTGGTCCACCGACGCAATTCTTGTCTACTCTTGTCTCCATTCCAATAACCTCTATCTCCATCGCCCATTGGTCATTCAAGCTATGTGTCCTGCCTACCTCCATTTAAGTCTGGCTCTGATCAGCTCGGTTCTTCCTCACACTCAGTTCATACCCAGTAGTTCAAATCAAATTCAGAATCGGGATTCTACCCAAGCAAAGTTCCGTTAAGAAGACTCGATTTCATCTACCGAGGCTCTTAGTGGGCGAAGAAAAAGAAGGGTGAGATCTTTTTGTACCTTTTTTATATTTGTATCTTCTGTTTTGCCGCATATTTTTTTGGCTTAGACTTATCGTCATACAGCCAGATATAAAAGGAATAAGACAAAAACCATCAGCATAATTTACCTGAATGCCCTAACACAAAGTTTACATAGATTACATTGACATTAGGAGAACAGGGACACTTTTTTCTATCAAAGGCCTATCAAAGCATTTATTGGTATAAGACATAACAACACTAATTCATGGAGAGGAAAAATTTATACAAATGATTTAAAACAAAGTAAAAGTTGTATCAATCTACGGAGCCAAGTGATAATAAATATAATATATTCCAAGAAGCTGATACATTACATTACAAATACATTATTAATTTATTAGTTTAGATGAGTAGGCTGTATTTTTAGTACAACAAAAAAATATATGATCTAAATCACTTGCCCCTCCTCTCGAATTGTACTCTAATAATTCAAGTTACGTGCCTTCTAGAAGTTCTACAAGACTTGTAACAAGGAAAATTGGGAATATCTGGCTAAATTAACTAAAGTATCTATTTTGGTTAACTGATAGCTCCACTCTCGAAGCAATGTTGACTTGCAAGAGATGATACTACCAGTGAGCATTACTTTATGAATACCGGTATCGGTTGAAATACTTTCTTTGGCTAATAAGTCGACGTATTTGTACATTGATTTCTTTGGCTCAAAGAATTTGTTTAATAGGTATGTTTAATTCTATACATGTATGGGCAGTCATGTAAGTTGAGCATGAGCCATGATCAACACTGTTAAGAAGTTAGACGTTGGTTAGCGGCTAAAGGATTTTGGTCTCTTAGCTACCAATCCAGACTAATCTTAATCATCCGTTCGAAAGTCTTCAATATACATGATAATAATTATATAGGTCGGTAAGCTTTAGCTAATTTCAGCTTCGCATATTTGATTTTATATTTTCTCATCTGATTGGACTGCCTTTGGAAATCCAAGTTTGCTCCAGTGGCAATCCAAGTTTGTCCCTTGGAAATCCAAGTTTTTCCGACTGGGAATCCAAGTTTATCCCATTGAGAATCCAAGTTTCTTTTATTTTTGATGCGACCTTTATTCGATTGGGAATCTAAGTTTCTCCTCATTTAGTGGCGACCTTTCGGCTACGAATTCTATTAGTATTTCCTTTACGACTACTCCCATTTCACAGGACCTTCTAGAGAACATTAAAAACGGTATTTGTAGGAACACCTACATGGGAAAGAAAATTTTTAGGAGATATTCCAGCATACCAGATCATTAGGGACTCAATAACACGTAAAGAACTCCACCAGATGTTAATCCCTTTGATACCGTAGGTATCTGAGATAAGTGAATTTTCTCCTTAACTTAACTGAGTCGTATGACTTAAATATGGATCCTAATATGAGTTAAAATTAGATCAATACTGACCGTAGAATAAGAAATTGAAAGAACTTTTTGAAAAAATTGGAATATATATGTACTTACCACTAGTATCACCGTGTTCTCCAATAATCCATCCGTGAACACTGTTGGAGCTGCAGCCCAATCTCTCGGAAATTAAAAACCTAAATCTAGACGTATCGAGGTTGGTTCCGGAACCAAACACTTTGTGTTGTGGCAGCCCTGACAATTTCCAAGCCACGTATGTCAAAATATCACACGGATTGCTGACGATCATTAAAATCGTGTCGGGGGAATACTGCACTAGAGGTGGGATGATATGTTTGAAGATGTCGGTGTTTCTTTGGACTAAAGCTAGACGTGATTCACCTTCTTGTTGTCTGGCTCCGGCGGTGACGATGCAAATCTTTGAACCTGCTGAATCTTTGTAATCTAAAAACAAACAAATATCCTTATTAGCAAGGAAATGAAATTTAGTTATAACTGGTGACATTGCGTCATTGAGAATGATTGCCTAGCATTACTTACAAGCAAAGTGTGATCTAATTTAACAACATTACATCGATTACTTTTTAAATTTCAAATAAAAGCATTTTTGTAGTAACAGGTATTCTTAAATGCTTTAAAAAATTATTTTAAACTGTTTACCTTTGCTCGCAACAATTTTGGGATTTTTCAAAAACAAAGCTCCATGTTGAAGATCCATTAATTCACCTTTTAGCTTGTCTTCCATTACATCCATTAGAACAACGTCATGGGTTATACCCTAAAAATAAAAAAAAAATAAAAAATAATATACTTTATAGTCTTGCTGAATAAGTTGAAGAGGAGAATTGTTTGTGTCAAGTTAGACATTCAGAATTATGTCTGTATTTTCATAGATTCTAATAAAGATAACTCCTTTATTTTGAATGTAAAGATTTTGAATAATATAAAAACCAATGATTTATTGGATAAAACCTGAGGAAATCCCAACCGAAAAAGAATAGAACTAAAAAAATAATAGGAGCCAACTACTCCTGCAGACAATTCAGAAGTAGTATGGCTTAACTGGTCTATAAACAACATATAACTAAACATAACACAAAAATATTAATACAAAAAATGCTTACCTGCATCAGCAAACTAACAACAGTAGCCATTCCTACTGCTCCTGTACCAACAACTGTGACCCTACTGGAAGTCTTCTCAATGGATTCCCCCACAGGGGTAAACAGACCTTCTTTGACACTCATTTTGGTGCTGAAAATAAAAAACGACGGTAAAAATTTTATATAAAATAATTTAATCTGAAAAGTTTGACTTTTATATAAATAATTTAAAACATGGTTTGACGTTTCGATGTTTACTCGACAGAATAGAGTGGGTACTATACCGAGTCCGAGTATAATTAATTTTAGTCGAGTTTTGCTTTAGATAATGAGGTCGTACAACTTTTACCTTGGTACGTGATTTAGTTAATTTTATTTCAGTTAGTATTAAATATTTTAATAAGTACAGAATATTTATGCATTAACAAAATAATGAAGCCCAAAAATAAGTTGGGACGAAAAATATTAGCAATTTTTAGCTTAGGAATTATTTTGTCATAACCATGTTTTTAAAACAGGAGAAAAGCATTCCTAGGTATTATGTTCTAATAATGCGGTATTGTTAGAAAAGAGAAATAGATCAATGTAGTGTTTAAAAAAACAAATAGTAAGTAAGCGAGCCTAGTTAGTAGGTAGACCCGAAAAAGTCACTTAGACGAAGCAAATTGAACAAGAATGTAATTATTTTTGCTCCAAAATAGAAAACAGTGTCAAAATTACTCTGAAAATTTGTTTTTATTATTTTCTTTGTTAAACGTGCTAGATCTTATGCAATTAATCTCTTTGAAATTTAGACACAATTATTTATTCCTACCAGTCTTTTCCCTAATATACCATTGGAAAAATCTTTAAATAATAAGAGGCAAATTAGTATTCAGACAAACTGAATGTATCATAAATATCATATGTAAATTCAGTGAATTTCATGGGTATAAAGAGTTACTAATGTTGAGGTACTTTGTCGCATGTGTAAACAAAAAGAATTACTGGAAAATGCCAAACTTGGGCAAATGTGTTGATTGTGTTGAATGTGTTGAGAGGCGAAAGATATGAATTAATTTAAGTTATACTGGAAGGAAAAGTACAGGGCATAAGATCAGTAGGAAGACGCCAGAACGCGTGGCTGAAAGACCTGAGGAGATGATTCGACCGCTCATCCGCAGAAATCTATCGCGCAGCAGTTTCCAAAGCTACAATTGCTATTTGGATCGCCCACCTTCAAAAGGAGACGGCGCCATGAGAAGAATGCACAGTCAGTATACATATTCATGTAGACTGAATGTTTAGACAAACAACCTACATATGGTGGGGATATGTAGATATGGTATTCTGCATTTGGCCTCACGGATCAGAAGCATTGGATAAATTTCTGTTAGACATTAACAATCAAGAAAAATCAATCAAATTCTTCATGGAACATGAAAGGAGCAATTTACTTCCTTTTCTGGATACGTTAATCACAAAAGAAGACACAGGATATGCAACCAAAGTTTACAGGAAACCAACTCACATCAACAGATATTTAAATTACCACTCCAATCATAACGTAACACCGCAAGCAATGTAGAAACATAATCTTATAAGAAGAGATTCAAAGTTGATCCCAATAACATATGTACAGGGCTTATTAGAAAAATTGAAACCGGTAGGAAATAAGTACAATATCACAACAACATTCAAAACAACCAACATACTGAGATCTATCCTGTTCAAAACCAAACCCAACAACACACAAAAAATATCAAAGAACTGCATCTATAAAATACTCTGTGAATGCAACAATTTCTACGTAAGAGAAATCGCAGGATCACAATGGAACGACTCTCAATATTACTGACTGCAAAACTTTGATTGGGTGTATAATTAAGCAAGCGATCTGCAACTTTAAATCCACTAATGTTTCTGTCCTTCTTTGTTAAGAATAATGTATGAAAGAGCAGTAGTCTTTTGTTTGCAACAATGTATTAACAACCGTGTAATTGTTTAATAGTGTCTCATATTTTTGTAAATGGACTCTTGGCTAACTATAAGGGGAGAATCAAAAGTAACAAAAATTCTGTTAATATTTTAACAATGTTTATTTCTTCTTTAACTCCGCGACGAATATTGGCAATCATCATGGCTATTTTGACCTTCGAGGCAGCTGCTCTGAACAATTGCCTTGAGCTGCAACCAAACCACTATCTCGGGTTCTTCAACCAGGAAACGCCTCTTCTTCCTACGCTTCTTCTACCTTTGATTTTACCCTGCATTATATTCCTTAGTAGTTCGTATTTTTCACCTCTCATGATGTGCCCCAAGTATTCCAATTTCCTGATTTTTATGGAATTTAAAACTTCGCATTGTTTTCCTAGTTGTTCGAGAACTTGTTCGTTTGTTTTGCGATCCATCCATGATATTTTTAAAATACGTCAGTACCACCACATTTCGAATGCTTCTAGGTTTTTAATGTTGGATTTTTTAAGTATCCAAGCTTCAACTCCATACAAATGGGTAGAGAAAATATAACATCGAAGCATTCTTATCCGGAGGATATATTGATATCGCGATTACAAAAAAGTTTTCTCATTCTATTAAAAGTTGACGGTGCAATATCAATGCGGCATCTTATTTCTTTTGTGTGATCAGTATCTTCTGTGATCCATGCTCCAAGGTATTTGTACGAAGATATTTGTTTAATTTCTGTATTATCTAGTACTAGCTTAACTTTGATGTTTTGTGCTTTTGTAAATACCATGAACTTGGTTTTCTTCAAATTGATTTTTAGTCCATAATCGTTGCAATATATATTTAGTTGTTCAGCAAGGTGTTGCAGTCTTCTAGCTATGTACACTGTGTACATAGCATTTAATTAAACTTATTCTGAGGGCCAATGTCAGATCTTTGCTGCATAAATATTTTTCATTTTTTCGAAGTTGTCACGTGATTTTTCAATTCTAACTCTCATCTCTGCAGTATAATCGTTATTTTCTGTAATTATCGTTCCCAAGTACATATATCATTTTACTCTCTTTAATCTGCTGACCGCCTACCGTTAATATTTCATTTTTATTGTTGTTCTTGCTAATTTTCATGAATTTGGTTTTTTTGATGTTAAGAGAGAGTCTCCGTATTCTCCACTATATCTTAATATTTTGTTCATTATTCTTTCTAAGTCTTCCAAGTTGTCGGCTATTATGACTGTATCGTCGGCATGCCTAATGTTGTTAATTAAACTTCCGTTCACTTTTATGCCGACTGTCTCGGTTACCAAAGCTTCTTGTATGATCTCTTCAGAACAAACATTAAAGAATAACGGCGACAGTATGCAACCTTGCCTGACCCCTCTCCTTATCTCCACTTCTTCTGACACTTCTCTTCCAATTTTCACATTTGATCGTTGGCTGTAGTATAAATTTGATATCAATGTTACATCTTGTTTTTGAGTACTTCTATCAGTCGGTCATGTTTTACTTTATCGAATGTCTTGTTGTAGTCTATAAAGCATACATAAAGATCTCGATTAATATCCAAACATCTTTGGGTCAGCAAGTTAAAAGAAAATAGTGCCTCTCTTGTAACCACTCCATTCCGAAATCCAAACTGGGAATCACTAATATCCATCTCCAGCTTAGCGTGTATTCTGTTATGGTTATGGATGATTTTTAGCAGGGTTTTTAAGGTATGTAACATTAAACTGATCGTTCGATAATCACTGCATTCTTTGGCATTTACTTTCTTTGGTAGACAAATAAATGTTGAGGCCAGCACTTCACGTGGAATGATTCCTGTGGAATAGATTGTGTTCAGTAGTTGGACTAAAAGATCTATGTTTTTTTTATTGACCAGTTTTAGCAATTTACTTGTTAATTCATTTGGACCAGCAGCTTTATTATTTTTCATGGACTTTACTGCATGCATAACTTTTGACTTTGTTATTTCGCGTCTCTCGTCTTTACTCTGATTATCTTCATATATATTTTCCTGTCTCTGGTCATGGAATAATTCCTCTATATATTCTTTCCATCTTCCTAATTTTTGTTCCGTCTCCACTAAAATGTTTCCTTGTTTGTCCAATAGTATGCTTGAGGTTTTTTGTTTTGCTACCCCAGCTAATTCTTTAACTTTCTTATGGAGATTGAAGTTATCATATTTGTTTTGTAAGTCTTCTATTTCTTGGCATTTTCCAGCGAAATAAGCCTCTTTAGCTTCTCTTATTTTCCTTCTTATTTGATTATGCAGATGTTGATACTGAGTTATATTGATACTCTTTTCCCTTCTGTCCTCCACCAATTACAAGATTTCTTCTGTCATTTAATCTCCTTTCTTGCATCTGAATGTTGTGAGTTCTCTGCGACTTGGTTCGATAATTGCATTTTTAAAGAATTGTCACTGTTTCCGGTGTGGATTCTAGGTTTGCATTAATTTCTTGTTTCAGTTTTTCTTTGACGTCTTCTGATTTTAATTTTTGTGTGTTTAGTTTATCACTTTTGTAGCTTTTTTGTATCTTTATTAAATGAAGTTGGAATTTTGCTACAAGAGTATTGTGGTCCGACGCCACGTCTGCACCTGGGTATGCTTTTACACGCTTTTACCGATTGTATTGCGTTTCGGTATCTGTGGTTTATTAAAATATAGTCAATTTGGTTTCTAACGATTTTATCGACCTTGTCAGCAGGCGATTTCCAAGTGTAAAATGTTTATTTACAATTGCGAAACTGGAATATAAAGTGCATTTGTTATATAAATTAAAATGGAGTGTTTTTCATCGTATGGTAGTTATTTTCTGTGTTTTTTAATATACCTTTTACTCTTTATGTGCCTGGGTATTTTGTGTTAGTTTCGCATGGACTATTAAATTTGAATTATTTCTACGTCGTCCCACAGGTCCATCTTACTACGGGAGATACAAATCAAAGGGAAGGAAATGCCATCATCTGGAAGAGTTATCGGCAATATTGACATCACTATCGAAATTTCCATCTCAGTAGTAAAGTACAAAGTTATATACTAATATTGTTTCTATACAATGAAAGTAATAGATCTATCTTAAAAGGTTATTTGATCTTTGTTTCTCAGCGTATTTATTGACGCAAATAATTTTGTTGACAATTTATTATCGGCGTGTCCTATGTATTAACAGTATTAGTTCTAAACGTAGATCAAGTTTAT